GAAGAGGAAGACCTCCACTCCGTTGGAAGGACCAAGTGGAGAAGGACCTGGCTTCACTTGGAATATCTAATTGGCGCCACGTAGCGAAAAGAAGAATATTTTCCGTACGGGAATGAACATAAGTCAATTGGTACCAAAACAGGAAAATACGACGGTTATTTTACAATCGACATGAGCCTGCTTTGAGCAATTGACCAATTTGCGTGGAAGCCAATGTGAACATATCCCACTAATGTTCATAGCTGTCTCACGGTATCACTAGCTTCCGGAACAACAACTTATTTTGGATGACCTTTTGTAAATTCGTCTTGGAGTGATCTACGACATCGCTTGATTTTACTTTATCATCGATAAACACTGGCCCTCGAYGGAGCTTCATCGTCGAAAATTTAATTAAGTTCATCTATGTACTCTTGATGACTTAATCCGCGTCAAAAGTTGTGAAAAATAATAGCGCGAAAATGTTCGCGATTTAATTCCATTTTTGGACGATAAGAATATTGTATCTGAGTATGCATACCGTCAAAAATGTCAAACTTTACGAAAAAATATGAGTTTCTGGATTGCAGAACTAGGATGGTCAATTCCCGAAATATAAAAGCAATGCTAGATGTTAGATTATGCCAAGATTCATACAATAAATTTTGAGCGGGGAACAGATATACATAATTTAGGTACGGAGTGTTTAATTACTCTTTAGGTAAGAAAACTTAAAAATGGTTTGAAATAATRGATTTWGTAATTCAAATMAAATTGTGGAATATAAAAGGCACAWAATGTACATTTTTCAAAATATGTTTCGAGTTTTGTTGATGTGGTAACAGAWCAGGAAATCAAGCTCTWAGCTCTTCTTACACTGGATACACAAAATGGGCYTAAGKGCGTCGTCAGACATCCACTCTATCTGTCTACACTAGATACAACGAATCTTGAGAGAACTCCTTGCAAGTGGCAAGCGTCCAGACGTTTGAAACAGAGTACCTCTCACAACAAATCGGCCACTTCTAAAAATGTAGTTTGGATGGAAAATGTGTTAAAAAAGGGAGGGTGTTAGGATAACAAAAATCATTTTCAATTAAGTATACGAGACGAAACGCCTATWATTTGTGTAATTGTTTGTTTCTTAATCAATCATTTATTAATATAATTTTGGTTACAACACTTAAAATATCCCTTTCGCAATCGGAATATAGAGCGGTACAATTTTCGCCCAAAAACCCATGTAGTTCGGCAGCTTCGTACGTCTCCCTGTAAACCTTCTCCTCTTTGGTGAAACCTTGATGCAGAGATGGCCTAAAAAGTACAAAAACAATAAATTTTGTTTAATTGTAAGGTATGCGGTTAAGTTGGCATATTCTGATTTCTCKACTTACGTCAGTATAAATGTCAGTAGCTCCGTGAGAATTGTATGATGGTCATCATCAAATGGATGCTGTGCTAGCTCRCAAACGCTGCGTAGAAGACAGGTTTCATGTACGCCGAAGCTGAGAAATAGTTTATTTTATCAAAAATACATATATAGTTCATATAAGAATAAGTTGATGGGAAATACAAGTACGAAATATAAAAATAAGTGTTAGATTAAGTGTAGTATGTGCACGAAAATTCTAGGAAAAAGGTTTTAAGRCCGGAGCAAACTCTTGTAGAAACCTGAGARGTAATCTAGTAATCGATACCCAGAGCATATTGCATTTATGAAGGGAACACTTCTCTACCCTGCTGAATGGCTGTAAAAACACTCGGAGATGGTAAACCCGATTCCATAATYGTTGACGATGGAGCAGACGTTCCATTGCCCGATTATAAAAAATTTCGAATAGCAGCTTCTTAATAGAATATGAYCGGCAGAAAGCATGCCAACGTCACTTTCGTCATAATTTCGAAGTCGTAGATAAGTTCGTTTATCTTGGATATGGCATTCCCAACGTACAAAGATCAAAATCTMCAACWCGTTCATCATTCCCGTCCTACTWTATGGTGCAGGGGCATGCACGATGACTACATTTGATGAGTAGGCGTTACGAGTTTTCGAGAGAAAGGTTCTTCGGAAGATTTATGGACCTTTTATGGGCGAATTGTTTAGATGGTTAACCTTAAAGAATAATCTAAGGATTAAAACAGATCGATAGAAAACTACATTACTATTTTCTCTAATAAATTTTAAGAGTTTCAAAGCCATTCYAACTTTTTAGAATAA